AAAATAATAAAGAAATACTTTACTTTTAAATTGAATTTTTCTTTAATATATTTCCTTTTTTTGTTTCATCAATCATTTAAGTTACTGAATTACTTGCTATTTCTTCAGTTAGTTTGTGTTTTAATTGACTATCAGTAAGACAGTCTTCTAGTATTATCGTAATTATAAATAAAATAAAATATATTATTTGTATCATTAATTTACGCTTAGTTTAACTTTTCTAATAAAGTTAGTTTCTTCCATTGTGTAATGAAATTTTTTAAACAGGTTTTTTTTCAATATAATTTTTATTTCAAACTCTTTTTTCATTAATGACATATTTTTTAAAAAACAAAATAAATTTTCACACAAATAAATTATATATTAAAGAGAAATAAAATTAAGATCCTATTAAATTTTTATTATTACTCAATTTAGTTCACACGACAATTAGTTTTAACACAAAAAAGTAATTTTTTGGGTAAATATTAAAACACATTTAATATATATATTTATACATATTCATAATTCTGTATTGAATTAAATTTCATTTTTCAGATCGATTAATAAACATAATTTGTGACAGTGACATTGAATATTGTAGAATAATGAATGAAACTACACGACAAAATCATTCTCGAGCAATTCAACATACAATTGACTTGTACATTAATAATTTACAAGAGTCCTTGAGAAATGGAAGGTACTTATATAATTTGTTAATTTATTCAATCATTTTATATTAAATTTAAATAATTTGTTATAATATCAATTTATATATAGGATGACATTGTCAGAATATTTGTAGGCAGTAGTTGAACGCACAAATATTCGACGGGAGCTGAGACAACGTGGCTCATAATTTGGAAGTGTAGAAAACCAAAGTTAGAGAGATACCAGCAAATGTAAATTTTCTTAAATATAAATAAAAGTTATACTTATAACTTCAGGAATTATTTTTGAATTCTTTAATTGACCCTGATTATTTTATTTTAAAATAATTGAATTGAGTAGTGATTTATATTAGAATTTATTAATAAATTTATATTCATATTATATTTATATTTAAATTCAGTTAAATTAAGGTATTCATTAAAAATACTGATTTATTTTTATAAAAACTTAAGTAATAAAACTTTTTTTTTTCGTTGCACGAAAATCGTTTATGTTTATTAAAGAAGAGAATAATACTGACAGACATTATTTTTGAAGTTTTTCAACTTTTTAATAATTCAGTTTTCAAATTTTTTTCACTTGGATTACGTTATTACGCTAACATTAAGATAAAAATGTTATTATCATTAGATTATAAGCCTAAATATACTTATTTATGTAGTGGGAATTACATGAGCCAGAAAGAAGACTTTTTTTTGTATAAGCATTTTGAATTTTTGATTGAAAATGTGGGGGTTTCAGACTCCCTACCTGGTCGACCAACCGACACTGGCGCAAATAGTTTGCCCAGGCGTCGCCAGCGGAAGCAAGCGCTGATGCCTCGTTCCGAAGCGGTTGTGGATTCTCAAGCGTGATCTTCAACCCACCACACGTGTGGCCAACACAGTCATTTTTATAATTCTTAATTTATATTTTTACAATTACCAAAGTTAATTAATAAACTATTATTATTAAATGTGACTTATTATTATTATTAGTGGTTGAGTAACCCCTATTCCCACATTGGTAACCCCGACGTGATATCTCTTTGTCACGATTGACTGTTACTATGCAGTTCGTTCTTTGTTCCTTGTGCCTCACACTGAGTGTCTTTGTGTGTGCAAAAACTATTTTCGGTCGGTGTTAAACTGTTAAGTGAACTGTGTGATAAACTCATAGACGTTTTTACGCTATACATTCTTTCGTTCGGTTATGGTAGTGGATCATTCGCCAGTTCGTAGCCCACCTGCATCTGATACCAGTTTCACTATGCCACTTACGTCACCAGATAACCAAGCTGCTTCATCAGGCTCTGGCCAGCAGTCAGGTGATCACAATGCTGGTGAAGTGTCAGCGATTCAGAACTGCAAACTTCCAACGTTTTGGAAGGACAACCCAGAGATGTGGTTCCTTCAAGCTGAATCAGTGTTTCAATCATTTAACGTCCGAGCTGATAACGCGAAATATCATTTGATCGTCAGCAACCTCACCTCTGATGCAGTGTTGGCTGTTACGGACATCATCAAGACACCGCCTGCTACAGACAAATATAATTACCTCAAGACGCAGCTTATTAATCGCCTAGCAGACTCTGCTGATAAGCAGCTACACAAAGTTTTGGGATCGAACCCTGCCCGGCAAAATAGAACTCTGACGCCCTAACCACATGGCCAGCATAATCTCAATATTGAGTTGATGTATATTTGTTTTTACACTACATGCTTGGATACGCCGACTTGGAATTGAGCTTTTTGATTAACATTTATACCTAATAAAAATGATAATAATGGATGAGTATATGTATTTGAAGTTATTTGCAGGTATTATATTAATTAATGTTAAATGAGTATCATCATTTTTATTTATCCTAACTGCAATAGTCATCAAAGTGTAGGGCATTGTAAAGTGATACACTATGTTTACATCACATACATATATTACCCGTACACACACATACAGAATTTACTCGCCAAAATGCAGGGCACCATCAGTTCTGGATACGGATTGAGCATTTTTTCAATATGGATGACTGAGGTCATCTGCGAGCATAATGCTGTCACCTATCAGAATTTTTTCGAACTAATTTTCCGGAGAATATCATGTGGAATACAAGATTTCTAATTATTTCTAAATTATTCAATTTCACACTATGAATTGATTTTTTTAACATTCAGACAGGTGGCAAGGACTGACGCAAACACGAATTTTGGGCGAAAAACGTATAAAAATAGAATAATTAGTGATTTTTCATCTGAATGATGTGGCCGCCATCTTGGAATTTAAGCGCGGCAAGTCAATTCATAATTTTTTCATTATTCTTTCTAATTTTTTTGATAAAAATATTCACTATATACAAAAAATTGTTGTTTACGTCAGTCCGGCATTAATTCCTCTGTAATTTGGTACCTAATTTTATAGAAATAATTGTAAATTGGCGAAGAAATTAGAAATTTCCCGATCCCATGTATTTGGATAGGGGGAATCAGTCGCCTTTCTGACTTCAGCCCAGCCTTAAAAGATTGTAAAAATGCCTTTGACTGACATCTTATTGGGGACGGATGTCACGCTCCCCGGCAAACACAGAATATACTCAATTTGAGTATAATTATTATTTAATGCAAGTACATTTTATATCAAAATGAAGTTTAAAGTGTACTGTACAATCATAATAACATTAACTTGACTGCAAATTTTTCATTACTCAATCCTAATATAATATTAATTTATACCAAAAATAGCGATTACCGCATTTTTGTAAATATTTTGTTTATCTCAAGTAGGTAGATAATAAAAGAAGATTACAAAGTTTCTTCAGTTGATAATATAGTTTTCTTACACTGACGATCTTCCTTACTTTCCACAAGTGTATTTTATACGGAGATCCCGTATAAAGCGTACTTATGCTGAGTATAATGCTGTTTTACACTTCAAAAACCATTTTCTTATATTATGAATTCTTTTTTATTAATAAGAAAATACTTGTTACTTGAATCAAGTATATCAATTCTTTACTGCAAGTATATTATATACTTAAATTAAGTAAATAAAGTACTCATGCTAAAATTTTGTTCTTATTAAATTTAAAGATTTCAAAATATACATAATCACATTACATTATTATAACATGGAAAAAATAGAAACTGTTTTTGTAAAATTATTATAATTTTAAGTAATTCAACTAAATTTTGTAAAATTATTATGTTAATAAAATCTGTAAAAAATATTTGTGTGTTTTGACTAAATCATATTTTAAAATAAGATGATGAACCGCATTCATTAAGATCGACTGATGAATTAGAGGCACCTCTATAGTTAAAAATGTTCAAGATAATTCATTAGAATATTTTGTCAATTTCCTAGAATTAATTAATAGGCATTCAATAAATTATTAATTAGTATTAAAGATTCGACAATCAATAATTTATCGCTGAGCGCTAAATTATGAGTTGGACTTTTAATAGGCCAAGTCTAAGTGCAGCAGCTTCACGTATTTAAAAGTACAACAGTAATTGTTGTAATTATTATAAGATTACTTTTCATCTGTTTATTAATTACTGAATATTTAATCATTAAGTTACTTCATCAGTAATGCCCACTAATTTAAATTTACCAATATCAATGGGTATAACAGTAACTTTTTTATTATTAATATGATTATTCATATTTTGAAATTTTTAAATTTAATAAGAACAAAGTTTTAGCATGAGTACTCCATTTACTTAATTTAAGTATATAATATACTTGCAGTAAAGAATTGATATACTTGATTCAAGTAACAAGTATTTTCTTATTAATAAAAAAGAATTCATAATATGAGAAAATGGTTTTTGAAGTGTAAAACAGCATTATACTCAGCATAAATACGCTTTATACGGGATCTCCGTATAAAATACACTTGTGGAAAGTAAGGAAGATCGTCAGTGTAAGAAAACTATATTATCAACTGAAGTAAACTTTGTAATCTTCTTTTATTATCTACTTACTTGAGATAAACAAAATACATTGGCTTACATTATACTGATTCCAAGTAGAAAGACTATTTAGATACAAGTAATTTATTTTCATAAAACTTGTATACTTATTACTTCTTCAACCGCTTGTAGTCTACTAAGGAGTGGTATATTCTGTATTTAGACTCAGTATTTTTTTTTAATCATTTCAAAACGAAGTTTTACTGATTCCAGGTACTTTCTTTACCTGCATTCCGAAACTTTTCTACCTATCACTTTTATACTGGGGACAAGTAAATTCTATAGTTCGCCACCGGAAAATATTTCTGTCAGTGTAGTAACTTTTTTTTTTGGCGGTTTAGCATGCTGGATCTCATGTAAATTCCTCTGATCCAATGGCACCCCTCTCTTTCTCTCTATCACAACTGCACAGGCGCAGAGAAATAGCCTGAATAGTAAGGAACACTTAACATGTTTAACCTTACTGAACATTGTTTTCAATTCAACTATATCTGATTCGCTAATATCCGGCCACGTACAAGTTAACAATTTTAATGAAATATTTTTCATCTTAACATTGAAATAATAAAAGTATCATCAATCGTATATCTGTGCTGTTTCTTCAATTCCTACAGTAAATCTGCATCTACCTTCGCATGTATATATACATACAAATATATACGGAAATTTTTATATATTTATGATTAGTGAAAACAATGGCATTTAGAATTTTAATGGATAGTAAAAAAATGTGGTTCTTTATAACATTGTGTATGTCTTTAATTTATTTAGTTAGTAGTGTTGAATTAACCTTCGAATTACCAGACAATGCCAAGGAATGTTTTTATGAAGAAGTAGAAAAAAATGTTTCAGCAACTCTTGAATTTCAGGTAAACTTCAAATATCATTATTTATTTTCAATTGATTAATTTTAGAAAATTTATTTATATAGAACTAATTAATCACACTATCAACGAATTAAAGATTATTCTTTTTTTTATAACATTAAATATTTAATGTTTGTAGGTTGTAACTGGTGGTCAGTATGATATTGACGTAACACTAGAGGCTCCAAATAAAGAAATAATATATCGTCAAGTGAAAACTCAATTTGATTCTCATACATTTACTCCTCAAGAAACAGGAGTATATAAAGCATGTTTCAGTAATGAATTTTCTACCTTTTCTCATAAACTTGTATATATGGATTTCCAAGTTGGAGATGAGTTAGCTCTTCCCGGTCTTGAAGAGCATGTAACAGTAATGACACAGGTTAGTTAAAAATTTATTTATACTTTTTCAAGTATAACAGCTTTATTGTACGATAATAAATTTTGAGAGCTACGAAAAAGCTTATACTAAAGAATACTCAATCGCCTTATAAACGAAGTAATAATGTTAATCTAGAATGAAATAAACATAAATTAAATTGATTTTTTTAATAAATTCAATTAATACTTTTGATCAATCAAAAAAATCATCTCGAAATTTATTTTATTATAATTTTCTGAAAAATAATAAACAATACAGAAAAAAGTCTAACAAAAATGAAAAGTTTAAATTTTTATAGAAAAAGTTCAAAGTATTTTTCTTTTATCTTTTACAGTTAAGCTTTCAATTAATTACTGAAATGAAAGATCGATTTTAAAATTTTTTCTTCGTCATTGTTATTTTGTTGCCAAATTAAAAGATAGGAAATGAAATTTGGATATTTTATTCGTTTTCTTTAGCAGAAACATTTGTAGGGGTACCAAAAATGATTGTTAATAACACTTAAACGCTTCCTCAAGACATGCTGGAAAATGCTGTTGTCAAAAATAAATATTCGTACAGATTTTGGTTTTTTATAGCTTTCCATAGTCTCAATCTGTTTATGATACAGAAGGAATTGTTTCAAAACATTGTCATATTTATTTGGTTAATTTAGATGGAGTCTTCAGCCCAAGAAGTACATAAGAACTTAGTCCGGATAGTAGATTATCAAACATCTCATCGATTACGTGAAGCCCAAAGTCGCAAACGTGCAGAAGATTTAAATGAACGTGTTTTATGGTGGTCTCTAATGGAAACTGCTGCTATTCTAGTTACAACTGTGGGTCAAGTATTAGTCTTAAAAAATTTTTTCACTGAACGTAAATCATTTCAACGACTTTAATTAATGTACAATTTATTAATTTAAAAATTAATTTAATTCTGAATTATTAATCTTTTTTCAATCAATTGTGAAATAAAATTAAAATAAAATTGTTGTGACACTATTGTGTTTAATATTTTACAAAAACCATTCTCAGCCATAAAATAATAAATAAAAATACATGTACCTTATTGTACAGTTGACTTTCTGTTATTGCAATTGTTACATTTTATAAAAAAAAACAGCTACGCTTTATTTATTTAAATTTCATTTGTTATTATAGATAATTTTATTACGAGATGAAATTAAATGAAAAACTAACTCTTCGAAATGTTTGTTATTATTTGAAATTATTCTTCAATAAATTTAGAATTTTCAAATTATTTAATGATCATTTTTTTCAAATAATAATAATAAGTTAATTCAGTTATTTTATAGCAAAAATTTATTTTCACTTAAGTCTTTTGATACAAAATTTAAGAATAAAAAAATAAATACTTAAGAATGTACCAAGTTTTTAACATCAATATTTATAATACAAAATTTAGTAAATTTACTTGATTCAGTACATCATTTATGGCGATCACAATACAGTAGACCAGATTTCACATGAGTTCGACATTTTCCTCCTAATTTGGTTTTAGCCAAACAAAGCTCTGGAGAGATTTGTGATTTTGATAACTTTCTGTAATAGAAAATACAATGTATTATTTATTTAATTATTGTTAAAATACAAATTCATTAAACAGAAAATTAAATTCATTCGAGAAGGATATATGTGAGCTCATGAATGAAAGATAAAAAACATAAAATTATGTATCTCTGTACAGTCAACATTTCGGTCAATTTTTTAAATTTCGAATCTTGTTAAGAATAAGAATACTCGTATTGATGACGAATAAAATTAAAAAAATTATGAAAAATGATTGAGTATTACTATATGCATAATAAATGTATCTTTACAGTTAACTGTGAAATAAGTTTCGATTTAATAAGTAAAAATCCAAGAAATAATTGGATTTCACAGAATATTATTCAAATAAATTTCTAACCGTACATTTCAGATAATGAGTAGATATTGTTCAATGTTTTTTGTCGCAAACGACATCCAACATGTTCAAAATATTCGTCTTCTTCTAAAGTATTTTCCAAATGTATGGATTTGTTGTCATCGCTATCCTCTGATATTAAACTTGGATACTCATTTAAATGTTCATGAAACTTTTTTTTTGAGAATAAAATTTGAACTAATCGTTTTTTGATATATAAAATAATAGTCTTCAAACTTGTTACTAATAACAGTACACTCTTTATTTTTTTAAATGGTGAAAAATATGATGTTTGCGTATCTTTTGGAGCAGCTTTTTTTGGCGTCAGTTTCTTGATTATAAATGAGATGAAATTGCATATATTATTGAAAATGTAGTACCCTGAAAATAAGTTAACGATAGATATTCATTTTCAATCAAAGATTTTCCATTTAAAAAATATGTACCTATAGTTGATAAAAATAATAAAAGAGTAATCGAAGTGAAATCCAAATCGGCTTCCATTCCGTCTTTCAATAAAATCATCGTATTCAATGGTATCAATATAACAATAAGTAATCTTACGAAAAATGGTAAATTCAAGAATGCTGCGATTATCATTGCTCCAAGTAAATAAAAAATATGAAATGATATGTAGACATACATTGCAAATTGATTATCTGAAATAGACAAATTTTGATAAAATGTTACAAAAAAGTAAAAATTAAAATATAATATAAAATAAAATATTTCGATATTGAATTACTATTATTATTAATCAATGTGATGAAAAAATTTGAATAACCATAAAAAGACCTTGTGCAATTTTCAGGGTTATCTTGATCAGATTATTCTAATAAACCATGAAGTAAAAATGGTTATATTCAATAAAATTAAATTGGACTTAAATTTACATCATCATCATCATCATGTAGCAATTAAATTCTAAAGTTTAAAGATTGATTTTTGGATTAAATTTAAAAAACTTTAACTTTGAATCTAAACTTTTCTTCTAGTATCTTATATAGTATATATAAAGCTAAATTTTATATAGTATTTCGACAATTTTCCTTTTTTTCTCGGGGGTAAGAATAGTATCTTCAGTATCACATTACTTTTAGTAACCCTAAGAGTGTTTACTTTAATTCATTACGAACCAGAATTATCAAAATAAAGATTCAACCAGTCTGTAATTGTTCTCATTTGTTGATGTATTGTATCTATCATATTTTCAATTGAATATATTGTATTATTTATTTTTTCTAATCTCTCTAGACATTTTTGGTGTAATACTGTCAAGGTATTTAGTAATTCTTCATGACTCCCTTGAATTTCCAAAAACTGTGCTGTGAAATGTTTCTCTGTTTTTTCTGAAATAAGTTTTCAATTTATTTATGATTTCTACAAGAATATTCAATTTCACAATAATAATTTACCTATTTTATCTTCTATATCATCAAACATTGCTGTCAATTGTGCATGACCAGAACGAATCAGAGATTTTTCATTGTATAAATCTCGAAGATGTTCCTGAATATGTCTATATGCAGTAAGCTGAGCATTCTTGAGATATTTATATTCTTCTGTTAGAATTCGATTTTTTTCTTCAATCATGGATAAAACTTCTTCTGTAGTATCTTTCAAAAAGTCATGGCTTTTCTGAATATTAGAATTTTCATAAAAACCAATTTCATAATTTTTCTCAATTTATAATTCAGTTATATTAACCCTGAAATCAAAACCTCTTAGACAAGCTTAAGCTTATTAAAAAGTAACTGCAGATCAATAAGAGTACTCTAGATTCAGGCAAGTGATTATAAGTTTGTAACATAAGGTTTTTTTTGTCAAATAAATATATTTATTCATCTATTCTTATTTCCTATAGAATTCGACGAGTAATAAATATATAGGGTTAATATAATTGGATTATATTCATTGTGATCATATATTTACATGATTGATAAAAAATTTTCGTTTACCTTCAAAGAGTTTAGGGAATCAATCTGGGATCGTGCACTTTGTACTAATTTATTAATAGCTAATTCACTAAGGGCACGAAATTGTACATTGCGTACAGAAGAACATATAGCTCTTGCTCGATTACTCATTAAATGATAAGCATTCCACATGTTTGCATCCATGTTTATTGTACATTGTTTCAGTGACTGTTATTAAATTTTTAAAAAAATTTTGCTTTTTACAATTTGAAACTTCTAATACTAGCAATTATTTAGCAGTAGTATGTTTTCTTACCATATTTTCAGTACATAGAAATATTTGACGACCTTCTACAGCTGATTGACAATTCAATAAACCAACACTCAGCTTTCCTAACTCTTCTTCTGTCATGGAACTACAAGATCCTTTTAATTTCAATACAATTTTGTGTTGACAAATTTCTAATGGAGATGATAATTGGATGTCTGTGAGTTTAGATGCTTCTTGTAAAAACTTATCATCTTCAACTGTTGCTTCAAATGGAATAGAAATTAATGAAAGCCGATCCACATCTGAAACACTGTCATCTGATGATTTGCTCCAAACCCAGCTAAGAAACGATGTACATGGTGTAATGGCTACTATTGAACACACAATTATTAATTGACACTGCATATTGATCTATCTGAAAATTTTAAAAATGTTTCTTTAAGCAACTAATAATCGGAAATAAGTAAAAATTTTTGATAACAGTTGTGTATAATTTAGTGCTCACGTAACAAATAAATTTTTGGATGTAAGTGATTTTTTAAAAAATAAAATAATTATACCCAATAGGTTAAATTTGAAATATATAAATTTGATATCAAATACTTTTGAAATAACTAATTTACAAATTATTAAAAGGTTAAAGTATTTAATGGTGAATATCACATTGTAACGACTTGTTACATTCCCGCTCGAAATATGTATAACGAGGTTACGTTTTAAGGTAGATAAAGTAGAGCAACAAATAAACTACTGATTGATCAAAACAAAATTTTTATTATCGACAGAAAAAAAGTTGCGCTAAATTCAAGTTGTGCGAAATAACAAACGTGTGTCTATGTGTGTTACAGATTAGAGCATTAAATTAGGTGATACACGTAAATATATCAATGTATAAATTAGGTGTATACGTTCTTTTAGCGATCGTAATTTCGAATCCCTCAAGCAGCAAGTTTCCATTTAAACATTAAAAAATCGAATTAAAATTCATGAAACACATGAAAGTAACAAAAAATTGATCTAATCATATTAATGATGTTAATTATTTAAAATTTCTCCATTTTTTTCTTCAAGTTACAAATAAGATTTTGAATCAAATACTATCAATATAATGATCAATTTATATTATGTTCATTCGAATTGATAATCACCTGATTAAATGAATGTTTTTTGTATATTAATGATGCACTTAGTTCACCTGAGATAGTGGCTTGGCAATTATTTATTATTATTAAATATTTATTTCACCATACTCAAGTATCGGATTTGTTAACAATAACGCAATCTTGGTTAATAAAAGTAAACTCTTTTCTCAGTGTTAAGCAAGTGCAAGTAATGAGTAATAAAAGTTTTTTAAAACAAATTATGAAAAACTTTATTGATGCATAATAATTTCAATAGAAATATTATAATTTTTGACAGAGACCTGTTGATTTTTACTTGACTGACATGAGAATTTTTATACTGCGTCTATATTGATATTTTTCCCTTGGCCGATAAATTGCATGCAGATTACCAGAAAGCACAGGATATTTCCTTAAATTTTCACTTCGTTCAGAAAATGTCATTTCAAATTCCACACATTTTTTTAAATAATCAAAATTACATATTTAATTAATTTATAAAAGCTAATATTAAGAATAGAATCTACAATTTTAATTCAATTAAATATAAAATTATCAAGTAGGTGGGAATTAGAGTTTTAATAATTAATTAATTAATTAATTATTATTGATTTTCTTAACATATATTTATTTATTTAAGCACGTTTACATATTTATTATTTATATAGAAAAATCAATCTAACTACAGCTTTGTTATATTTATATATTCATATTTATATATTTTTTTATTTTAATTTAAAATATTTACACATCATTATCAGTAATAATAATAAGAATAATACAATTGAATCAGAGCTTAATGGGAAAATGTTCTTCATCAAACGTTAAAACGTGCTTTTGCTATTACTGACCTTCTAAAACATTTTTTTCACATCCCTTTTATTTATTTAAATTCATTGTTTTTAGACAATAAATTAATGAAAAAAGCTACATAATGATTGATTATTAAATATTAAAATTATCATCATTATTTATTGTACATTGTTTTTTATTAATTATTTTTATTATTATTACTATTATAACACCATCATTAAATGCTTTTTGTTTTAAATTAATAATAATAATCAATAATAATAAATCATTTTTATTGTTATTTTATCGCACTGGTCAACTGGTTTTTTTTGTTTTCAATATACTTTTATAGATCAATCACTCATTCTACACACTTACACACTAGTTTTAATAACAAATTTTTTATCTGTTTAATTTTATTGTTTTTTTATAAAAAAATTTCGTTTCTTTCAACAAATGACCTTTGAGGCTTTTGGTGTCATTTAAAAATTTTTTTTTATTTCTTAGAACAAAAATTCTTTCTTTTTTCCTCTAACTTTTATTTTTATTTTCCTTTATTTATTAATTTTCTCATAAATTAGCTACGGTTTTTCATTGCCATCGTCCTTTTATCTAACAACTTTCAATTATTAAAAAATTCAGTTATTCACGAAATTGAATATTTTCAATAAAAGAACGTATGACCTCCAAAGGATCACGCCTGAATCCATTGAATTATAACAAAGGATTTTTTTATTTATAAATTATTGCATTAAATCTTTTAGATTTATTTTCCTGTCAACTTTAAATTAATCATTTTCTTTTTGATTATTGTATTTTTATCATTCTTTTTTTTTGTTTTTTGTTTGAATTTATATTTAAAAAATCCTGTTATTTTTTTTTTTTTTAATTTATTCCAATATAAAAAGAACACGGGACGTTTCACCGAACCGCCTTCACTCTTTGTGCTCAGAATTAGGCTTTCCTTTTTGATCCATCGACGATGAACATTGTCGTGAATGATTTGGGTTTGTTTGATTTCGTGGTACCAATAATACATTACCATCAGCTGATTGTTGGAGACAATAGTCATTAATATGATACTGGTTGCCATCAGAATCACGTAAAGACTGTAAAAACAAATTTTATTTAATATTTTTTTAATCATCAAATTGCTTAAAGATCACTTAAACTTTTTATTAATAATCATCAAAGAATTTATTCAAGTCAAATAGAGATTTTATAGATGAAAGATTAATTTTTTAATTAAAATAATTATGTTTATATTGTAAAATAAAAATATTTTTTCATCTGTATATTATTTGATGAACCACTGATTTTGTTATTAACAACGTTTGACCGATTTTTTGATGTTTAGTATTCGATTGAGATTAGTCTAGACTAGATATCTTTCTAAATCTGTCATAATTTATTCATCTTCAGTAAACATTTCAGTTTTCACTTTGCTATATTTTACAATATTTCATAATTAATAGTATGTAACTTTTTTAATAATTATTTTTGTTTAGATAAAAAATTATAATTTGATTAAAACTCACTTGAAAGACATGATGATACAATTGAGTGAATTTATCCTTGACTCTTTGTCTCTCTAACATCATATACTCCCTTTCTCTGATCAATCTCGTTTTCCTGTCTTTCATTTCTTTTACTTGAACCTCTAGACTGGTGATTTGATCTAGTTTTCGTTTTCTACAATTTTGAGCGGCCACCTTATTCTTTCCACGTCTTCGAATATCACGAATCAATGATAATTGATTTTCATTGAGATCATATTTACTCAATCGTTCATTAAATTCATCCATTGGAAGATTAATAATATCTTTAACTGGAATTGGTACATTATGAGCTCGTGCTCGTTTTTCATCACGAGTTAAATTTTCATCTGATTCATTTTTACGTCCTAAAAATCAATAAGTATGAAGAAAAGATCAAATTTATATTAGATTTTATTTATTTTTAAACAAATATTAACCTTTCTTGTCTCGTATTATAGGTCGTTGCATAGCGCCTATACTATCTGGAGGCAAATGATACGTATGATTGTGATGAAGATGCTCTAAAGCCGTCCTACCAGGTAAGTTGGACACTATAAAATTCAAACTGACTTAGAAAAAAAAATTTTTTATTAAATTAATAATTAAGAATAACAATTAATACCTGATTGATGTCGACTAAAATCAACACTGCAGCTGTATTTTAATTCTGGATGAGGCCCAGCAGCACCTTCAATTGGTCCTGCATAAGCATTGCCTGGAGCACCTGATCCAATAGCTTGATGATCATATTCATATTTTATCGGCGTAGAAGGATGAGTACTTGGTCCGATAGGTGATCCTTAATTTATAAATGATAAATTAAAATTTTAACCTATAATTGTATTGTTTGTAATAAAAATTGAATTTAAGAATTAATTAAATAATACAAATTAAACAACATTATATCTAATGATATTGCCAGTAAATTTATGAAAAAATTTTTTTTTAATTGTTTCAATAATTATAGTCATTAACATAAATTACATTATGAGAAATATTTTTACATAGTTACAAATTTAAGTTATATGAAGAAATACTGTTACTTAATAAAAAATTAATGTTTTATCATTTTTCAAACTGTTGGTATTAATGGTGTTAATTTTATTCCAATATTAAACATGATTATTTTATTTAATTAATTGATTATTCTAATTTACCAAATGATACATTCATTAATTATTATTTAATCTTAAATTTAATTAATAAAAAACTAATCTTCAATTATTGATTTTAGAATCACAGTATACCTGTTCCTTGCTCTTGGAAGTATCGTTTAGCAAACATTTGATGTTTCTTTTGTGCTACAGGTGGAATTCGATCACCTTGACACCGTGGTGAGCCACTGTTTCGTCCTGATAAAGAGTAGTTGCACTCATAAGGCATCCGATATTTACTAGAGTTAAAAGAAAAAGCAAATAATAATAATCATTATTTAGCTGACAAGATTGATAAAGTGTTATAATGTAATGTTTTTGCTGAAATTACCTAGCATAATCCATAGAATAATGTGAATCAGCTTGTGTATGACTTGAATTAGATCCAGTTTCCATCCATTCGCCATCAGAAAGAGATGGTACACGTTCACTTCCCATGCTACTGACAGCACTATCGCTTGAGGCATCAAGTCTTTCATCAGTAACGCCAAGATTAGTCACACTTGGTCCGGTAGTTGTTGTTGATGATGCTGTAACTCCAGGAAGTCCTACAGCACCACCACCACCACCACCTGTTGGTCCAGTTGCATTGTTGCTGCTGTTGTCTAGTAATCTCATTGAATACATCCCTAAAAAAAAAAAAACATATGTTAATTATTTAAAAATGTAAAAAAATCTTCGAATATTTTTATAATTATTTAAAATAATGTGTAGAAAAAGTAGAAATCATTATCAACGAAAAATTCGCTGACATTTGAGAAAAAAAATTCAAAGAATTAGTGATGATGTAGTGTGTACGTGACTACTATCGTGTGACTAATGCTCACTTGTAATAAATATCATGTCCTCGAACAAATGAAAGCATTTTATTTAAAATAAATCTCTATTATAACACAGTAGTGTTAATCAATTTATTATATTGCTTAATTAATATATATTTTTATCTTATTTTAAAAACTATTTTATACGTTTACATAATGACTCAGCATATTTTTAACATGATAAGAGATATGTATTATACGAATTTTATATCACCTGTTTTATTAATATAACAAAAAAACTTTTTTTCAACATATACATTTCATTTAATCATGTTCACTTTAGGTTAATTATTTTTTAAATTAATTCTTACGTGGTATATAAATTATAACACCCATATTTTTTATAATTGTATAGAATCAACAATAAAACTGCACTTTATTGTTCAAAATAATTTTTTTCATTAAGATAATTCATCAAAGTTATTGACTCGCATCTCTTAGATTGACACACAGACACTTATTAGAATCTTTATGTCGATAAGATAAAAAATATTGCATAATTGATGTGAATATGACACACTTGAAATGTTAAATTATTTTTTCGCAATCTTCTGTTGTTATCAAATATATCACATTTGTAACAACTAAAAATATTACAGCACAATTGTACATATTGTTTAATAAATTAAACTACTTGAACATTTTGTTTAATTATTCCAAGGCAATAATTAATATTTTATAAGACAGTTACAACTGTTGGATTCAACATGAGACTATGAGACATCAGGTCTAGCCTCAACGACGATCAAATGCAATCTATGTAGGTAGGAATTTACTGAGAAAAGCGTCATCAACACTCACTAGTGATTATTGTTGTATAAAACATTATTTAAATCCATAATTATTAATGATTAACCTCTTAATTAATGTTATTAATGTCTGATTATCATAATAAACATAATTCCATCAATATATATTTATATTATTTCAATAATGAAGATAACCACTAAATTAATAGTGCTATTGATCAAAAAATTAATAAAATCATTTAATATATTGATTCAAATATAAATAATGTAACTTAAAAAATCTGATTGATTGTTTTGTAATAAAATTGTTTAATATGTTCAATATGGTAATAGATGAAATTCAAAGTTAAAGTTATCTGACTTACGGAAGGAATAGAAACGTTACGATGGAATGAAAAAAAATGAATAAGAAAAATATCCAAGTCATTGAGTTGATAAATATTTATTAGCATCGTGTCATATAATCACATTGTTTATATTTTTTTTTAATCTCACTTCAACTTATCATCATTACGCCATTGATTTTTTTTCACTTTTCGCTGTCGATAAATTTCATTTTTTATCTACAATTATTTCTCTGAATCCTGTTTTATCTTATTTAAAGATGTAGATTAAAGAAAAAATTTGTTTGAAGTTAAAATTTTTTTAATTAAAAGTTTAAATCTCGCGCTAAATGTATTGAAAAAATTTTTATTTATAAATAATTGTTTTTGAGGTTCAAAATAGGCTTTAATTCGTCATAATGTTAGTTATTATTCGAATAAATTTAATTAAGATATTCTTCTTAAATACTTTAAATAATTCTTTGTAATTAAAAAGAACATTGCATTAATAGTAACGCCCTCTGAAACAATTTTCGGCGGGCCAAGCACGATTTCGACCCCCACCGTTATTCTTGACACTCACGCGTTGTCAGTCGCATCAAATGCACGTTGGTGGTGATATTAATTATTTTATAGTGTTAAAATTAGTTTAAACATAAGTGACAAACAATTACAACAATCATCTAAGAGTCAAAGAGTCATTAGAGTGTCGAGAACTGTTTGGAGATCAATTGTAAGCAAATCTACTCATATTTTACACAGAAAAATATATTTTTTTCACAACAGTTACAATACCGCCAAGATGGCGGTTAATTTTATAAAAAAATTTTCATCAATATTTGACAAATACTTACTTTTCTTTATTTTTAATGAACATTTATTAGTAGATTTTTATCAAAATTTAATTCAACAATTTTATGGTTATTAATTTTCATGTAAAATATGGACTTAATTATTTTTTTATATCAATGTAGATCAATTTTACAGTAATTTTCCGGTTAACTATTTAATTAAAGAATTATAAAAGTATTGAATAGAGAGAGAAAAAAAATAAAATCAGTTTTATAATTAGTCATTGAGCCACAAAAATGTTTCTTTGTCTGTCACAATGTATTTATTGTATGTATTGTGTCGTATGGTTTTCATTGCATGCTGAACACTACACTATTAAAGATTTGTTTACATCTGTTTTTGTCAGTTATCCTCTATGATTCCAAGAATTGCCGATAGCTCACAAGACTCTTTATTTCATCAAACCGCGTCCAAACAAAAATATATTAAATATCAAATTTAATTTCTTTTCAACCGACAATTATTGATTTCTTGTGCATATAAATTGTTGAAAAAATTGTTTTAAATACTTTTCTTTCAGTTATAAAAATAATAAATATGGCTGATTACGGATCTTTCGAAGAACCAACCAATACTTCATCAGTAAGTTCATTTTTTTCAATAAATACAACTTATTATTAAATTCTCATTCAATTTTATTAATAATTCAACTCTAAAAATACTTAAAAATCAATTGAACAGCAATAAAATAATCTTTGCTTTTTTTCGTTAAAGTATTCACATGTTTTAGACTTCTAAGATTAAATTTATTTACTCAGAATTATTTTTTAATTTTTTTTATAAACAAATTAAGTTGATAATAAAATCAATGAATTTTTAATATTTAATTTGTTTAAATAAATTTAATAAATAAAATAAATAAATTTCCGTAAAAATCAATAACTTTTAGTTCAATGAAGGACGATCTTATGGAAGAGGTCGAGGATTCACCCCTGGAAAAGTTGACAATGACGATTGGTCGACAATAAGAACTCAATCATCGTCCGCACCTTCAACTGGAGTAGACGACTGGTTATCAGGAGGTGGTGGAAATAATGACAATGATGATCAAGGCTACAATCAAGATCGTCAAGACCGAGATGAGCCACGTAAAGGTCGTGGTGGTGGACGAGGTGGCCGTGGAGGACGTGGAGGTAGTCGAGGAGGTCGTGGAGGATATGATGGTGGACGTCGTGATGATCGTCAGAATGGTTCCAGAGACTACAATTCACGACGACGAAATGATAACAATGATGATCCTTGGGGAAATAATAACCAAAATGATAATCAGAATGATGCCTGGGGCACTGATAATCAAGATCGGACTAATGACCGTAATAATGACGACTGGGGTTCTGGTGGTAATCAAGATCAAAATAATGATGACTGGAACTCTGATAATAAGGATGATAATCGACGTAATCGTGGCTCTAGACGTAATCGAGATGATGATAATAACAACCAAGATGATCAGAACAATGAAGATGAAAATGGTGAACCAAAGAAAACACCAGTGACTTATATTCCACCCGAAGAAAATGAAGATGAATTTTTTGATTCTGGTGTTGCTGCTGGAATTAATTTCTCCAAGTATGATGACATAACTGTGAATGTTACTGGAGAAGATGTTCCACCTCACATTAAAGATTTTGATAGCGCCAACTTGCGTACTGCTCTTCTAGATAATATCAAAAAATCTGGATACCAAAAACCAACACCAGTTCAAAAATACGCCATTCCAATTATCCTCAAGAAACGTGATCTTATGGCTTGTGCTCAAACAGGATCAGGAAAAACAGCTGCTTACTTGATTCCAATAATTCATCATTTGTTAGAAGATTTGAGAGAAGTACAGATCACTGAACGTGGTTGTGAACCCCAAGTGATAATTATGGCACCAACAAGAGAATTGGTGATGCAAATCTGCAATGAAGGTAAAAAGTTTGCTAAAGGAACTATGATTCAATGTATTCCTTGTTATGGAGGTGTAAAACCAGGCTACCAAGCAGATCAATTACGACGTGGTGCTCATATTGTTGTTGCAACTCCTGGACGTCTGAATGATTTCGTTCAAGGTGGAAGAGTTAAATTCAGTTCAATCAGATTTATGGTTTTGGATGAAGCAGATAGAATGCTTGATCAAGGTTTTTTGAATGCTATGGAACAAATTTTAGAACACGAATCCATGGTTCCAGCTGGAGAACGACAAACTTTGATGTTTTCAGCGACATTTGATCAAGATATTCAACAACTAGCAGTTAGATTTCTTAAAAATTATGTCTTTCTTGCTGTCGGTATTGTCGGAGGTGCTTGCACAGATGTCGAACAGAACTTCTATGAAGTTAAAAAAACTGAAAAACGGGCTAAATTGAAGCAACTTCTTGAAGAAGATGAATTAACAATGAAAAAGAAAACTCTAGTGTTTGTAGAAACTCAAAAGACTGCTGATTTTATTGCTGCTTATATGTCTGAACAAAAATTTCCATCTACTAGTATCCATGGTGCTCGAGAACAACGTGAACGAGAATTAGCTTTGAGAGATTTTCGGTCTGGAAGAATGCCGATATTGATTGCTACATCTGTTGCAGCTCGTGGATTAGATATTCAGAATGTGACTCATGTTATCAATTATGATTTACCCAAGTCTATTGAAGAATATGTTCATCGAATTGGTAGAACTGGTAGAGTTGGAAATCGAGGTCGTGCTACCAGCTTTTATAATCCAGATATGGATACTGCTATTGTACCACAATTGGTGAACATTTTGAAACAGGCCGGCCAATCAATTCCGCCATTCTTTGAAGACAATGCTGGAGACTATGATGGTGGACGTACTGATAATTTTGGTGGATATGACATTAGAGATGTAAGTGATTTTTTTTTTTAAATTTTTTAGCATTTAATGGAGTTAACTTGTTTTAAAGAGATTTTTAAAAGATTTGTTTCATTATAATTTAGACATAGATAATCTTTTTAAAAACTGTACTGCATTTAATTGTATTTATTGAAGAAATATTTCTGCAGAATTGTATTATTCTTTTACAATAGTCGGATGTTATTAAATGTGCAAACTTTAATTCTAAGACAATGTTTTTTCTCTTTCCAGAATTATAATCAAGGAGATTCCGAACCCCAGGAAAGTTGGTAATTTCAAGCCCATCACCAAAAGTTAGGATAAGTTTAATTTAAAACAAAAAACAAATATTTTAAATTATGGTTGACATTAAGTTTCCAAGTGTAAACACGATAATTTTCTTTTGGTTTTTTTTCTATTTAGGTTTAGGTTTCATTATTCTTCCTATTAATTATTATACGATTAGTATAAACTAGTAAATCATCACAATGTGATACTTATTTAACGAACTATATCATTTCGTTATTTTTGAAAAAACGTACTAAAAATTTAACTTTTCTACATAAATATAAAAACGTACTATTTCTTGTTTTTAATAAACAAAAATTGAAGCATAAAAAAAAATTTATCTTCAACTTACCATCATTCATAGCCATGTCCATCAGATGCAGATCCTCGTCACTTAACAACGAGGATATAAATCCATCAGTCGTTTGATTTATAGTTTCAGAAGGTGTATGATAGTACATCATATCATTAGGTTCTGCTTTATAAACATTACTGTTGTCATGACCAAGAGGTTCACTGCTATTCGTTAGGTTCATTGATGTAGCCACAGCTGATCCAAAGTTTGAAGGTCCACCTGCGATTAACAGTCAAACAATCATCATAATTCTTAATTTAAATAAACAAATCATTTTTTATATTTTTTTTGATACTAACCGACATTATGGTAAGGCCCAGTAGAGTTTAAATCTCCTACAGGTGGTGCTAGAGTGGCATTATGAAGCAAAACATTACGTTGAGCTTCGTAGTGAGGGTGGTTCAAAGTATGACCAGAGTATCCTGAGTGTGTTGAGTGTCCAAAGTGGTCTGGGAGAGATAAAATTGATGCAAAGTCGCCAGGCCATCTTTGTTCCGAACTCATCGAACGGACGAAAGGTACACGACCCTTTGAAACATAAAAAGAAAAGATTTATCATCAATAAAACATTTTTAATTGATTATTTTTATTAGGAAGATTCCAAGTTTCTATATGCTTTGGCTAGAAAATTTTATTGATTGAAATCATTCTGTTTTCTCAACAGATTTTTTTTATATATAAAAGAATTACCTTCAGTTCTTAGTAAGTTTTTGCTTAGTTTTCATCATAAATTCAAACTATAATTAATTATTTTTAATTAATAATTTATATATATTAGTAATTTTTATGAAACATATTTAAAAAATACCTTTCCTACGACTTAATATATCATAAAAATCACTAAACTTGAATAAAAAATATATTTTTAATGTCACACTTTGTGAAACAAGCTTACAAGTGACATTGGTAAGATTGTCAGGTGTCAAAGTAACAGCCAAAGTATCACAAGAAGATGAAACCCCTTGCTGAGTGCGTAGGTATCCAATAATTATTAATAGTTTCACATATAACTACATGTCTAGATGTCTATGGTGGTTCATCAATCATTTTTCTACAATTGTCATTTACAACAGACAAGACACACGACACTTTTTTTCAACATCAAAAACACCGTTAATGTGAGTTGAAGATTTTTAAATATCTTATCATCGGTATGATACATCAAATGATTATTTTTTCTTTATCAGCATCAGCCTATGTTCATATTGAGGATAAATGAGATGAAAAAAAAACTTTTTTTAGGACACTGATGGTGTTTTACATACGTGGGAATATAATATGTAAGACATAAGAAGATTAATAGAAAACGCGATTGTTATTTAAGGACATCAATCAGAGAGTTGAGTGCAATCTGTTGAGCGTGTTGATGCATTTATGTGGACATTCTCGCTTGTCAGCACCATCTGGCTCATCTTCAAGACCAAATGTAGGCCACAAAACATCATCTATCGGTCATTCTACATTTCCGCAATAACGAGAATTTAATGAGGTCATTGGGTGAACAAAAAAAATATTTAAATACATGAAAAAAGAAGAATGTGTCATAGGGTGATATCTACTTCAAGAATTAAGTGGATCTTCTTTTTACGGTTATTAATAATCATCATAACTTTTTTTTGTATTTGTTAAATGGTATAATCCTGTTTAAATCCATGTTAAATTTGCATATCGTTTTATGTTTCAGTTATTTCGATAGCTTTTGATGTTTATCAGGCAATCGACTCACAACGGTAGCTGATGAGACACTTGTTGCCTACATCGATCACTTTGTCAACCGTATCGAGGCTCATTTTAACCTGGACAGTTCACACCTCATACATTTGAGTCATAAGCTATTTTCTTTAGAATAAAATTCCTTTCTTTCTTTTATAAGTGAGTTTTTAGTCAAAGTATTATTTTTTTAACCTTTAAAGAAAACAATTTTTTTACTGTTTTGTTTTAATTAGAGCAAATAAGTATTTATAAATAAAACTTTCATTTTTGAAGTATCCTTAGGTGTTTTAAAAATAAAAATATTATTCTTAAATGAATGTCCATTGGAGTAAGAAATATATATATATATAATCGTACATTAAAACAAGTATATTATACATTTCACAGAGAATAAATCCAGCATCTGTTGGCATCCCGTCGTGTTTCATGTTGTCTTGAAAATAGTTTGCTATTTTTTCATATCATTTTTCTCTAGAGTTATTCATTTTTTTGATATCTTTTTTGATTGAAAAGAATAACAATAATTTTAGTGTTTTCTTTTATTTTCAGATTAAGTAGATGACTTTCTTGAAATAAAAAGGAAATTATTGAGTTGACAACAAGAGGGACTTCTGTATATTTGTGGTAAGTAAATAATATGACTAAGTGATCCTTGAGACTTTCTTTATTTTTGTCAAGTGTTATTTCTATGTTGGACTAGAAAACGACATATTTTTGTCATTTAACTCCAACTTGATATATAAATATAGTGTCAGGATATTTTTAATAATCAAAATTATTTAATTTTTCAGGGTAATAAAAGTTGATAACAAGTGTACAATTAATACTTGAGAAATATGTATTATATTCTACTTCCCACTGTTTGACATCCGAAAGCAAATAATCAATTACAGTAATTTACAACCGTAACCAAAGAGATTATTGTCACTCTCTTACACCCACAAATTTGTCTCTAGAACAAATTACATTAATTTTTACGCCCAAAAGATACTATAACAATGGCTCACTGAAGACTTGGTAACTTTAAGATAAACGACAACAGGGTCGACAAACCCTTTTATGAAATCAACATTTTAACAGCCATTCTACCTGCGGTTTTAATGATAATTAAGTAGACAATTACTTTTATTCTATTGTACTTGAATATTTCTTTTTTTTTCACTAATCTTTATCCAGTATTTTTCAATCATTCAAACTCCCCGGGAGTGTAAAAAAATTTATTTAAAATATTTGAAAGCTGTACAACATTGATCAAAATGACTCAGGAGTTAATGTTTGTCCATCTTGTTTTTGGATGCATAAAACTTGATTTTTGTTATTTTGGGGTTTTTCTAAAGTCAAAACATTTTGACGAATGATAAAAAAAACATTAATATTTAAGAATATACATAATAAAAAATTTAGAATAAATAATTTATCAAGTTGAAAACGATTATAACATTTTTTTTTATACCAAATAGTGTCAGGATTCATTAATTACAGTCGTGTCTGCTTAAAGCCACATGATTTATGTCCACTTAGGGCGTTACTTGTTAACAAAAGAATATTTTGAATTCAAAAGCAAGTGTATACTAACAAGAGAAATTATTATAAAACTGGACTAAGTTATGAATATATAATTGATAATTAAATCATAGGAATTTTATAGAATGTTTTTCACCTTTAAAGTTACTAAATAAGAAACAAACAAACTTTAGTTCTCAATTTACTCACGATAGGACCGTTCATTTTCATCTCGAATTTTGTTTTTAGCATGTTGTATGTAGTGGTGGGGTGATATCTTCTCGTTAGAAGTTAAAAAAAATAATTTTTAATTAAAAAATCGTTTTTCGATTAATAAAAATAATAACAATTATTTTTTGTTTCTCAAATATTAACAATAATCATATTTTATTTGTTTTACTTATTTTATTCTCGCTTTTAATTGAAGCATCTTATTTTTCATGTATTTTAAAATTTTCAACTAGTTTCTAATTGATCTTTAATTATTGATATTCATCAAATAATTGCAAAGGAACGGTTATTTCAATAAAAATCTCCAATACTTAACACTACTCCAAAGTCTAAATGACCAAAAAAAAACTCACTTAACCTTCAATTTCAAATATAACTCCAATTCACAATAACTTTTTTCATCCTTATCTTAACGAGAAAATAATTGGGCTTATTTTAAGTATCGTCGTTGATTAATTCTCTGAATTAAAGTTCACATGATACGGTATTGTATTTTTAAAAACTTAGTTAATCAGAAAAGAATAATTTTTTGTAAGTTTTCAAGTTTGTCTAAGTAAAATGTTGTTTATGTTTATTCAGTTATTTTATAGAAAACCAATAAGTTATATCAAAAAAATAATAATAATAATGATAATTATTAATTATCTATCAAAAAAAGAGAGTCAAAAAAGAAGAATTGGAATTGAAATCTAAAAAAAGAATATAATAGTGTATTGGTAGTGAATTATTACGTGAATCTAGTACTAGATTAACCTCCTCTAGGTACCAATTATAGGTGACTAAGGTCAGTGTTAATATGACACTTGCGTGAGAGAGGAGTTTACCAAAAAATAATATGGTACAAAAGTTCCCTCTAGAATTAACATTATATATTATTTATTATCTTTGTCACATACGTTATATAATTCTCATACAATAATATACATCTATTACTATTCAGCAACATCCAAAAGACATTGAAATATATAAGGAGAAGGTCTCCACGCTATACTTTTTAATCATACGTTTAGGTCTAGATGAAGGAATCATTTTAATAAGAACTAATAATTAGTCGCACGAACTTTTATTAGCCAAAACTTTAGAAAAAACATGTTTTTTTTTAAACAATAAATAAGAATAAATATTTCCAATGTTATTAAAACAAGATTTTTTTGAAGTAAAAAAATTCTGAAGCCAATCAAAGATGAATATTCTGTCAAGATATCTATAATCAACTCTATTTGAAATTATTCTTTTCAGTTTCTTTGATGATAAAAAAAAATGTAATAACTATAAGATTTTATGATTGACTTTATGAAATATAATTTATTGTAATGACAATAGTTGAGTTTTAAAATAATAAATATACCTGTAAAACAGTGTCTTCGACAATTAAACTCCAACATTCTAAATTTGACGACACAAAATCACTCGTCTGATGAGGCTTGATATTTTGCTGGACTTCGGTCATGTGTTTAGCATTGAGTAATTCATATAATCACATTTAGCTTCGTTTTTAATAATAAATATTACTCTTAACTAGTCAAAATTATCTTATTTAAAAAACTAAAACTTCAATAGTTAATTTAATTAAATAAATTATTTAAATAACACCGTCACTGGTTATTTATTGTTATTTTTCAGATGTCTACATTCGTGCTCATCAGACCTACGCATTCGACTACCGCGTGTTTGTTGGTGAAAAGACTCTAACTGAACATCTTCACAACTTGAAAGCCATATGGAAGGGATCGTTAAAGAGTTACCATTGGTTACTAACTTCAGGTGAGTCTTGAATTATTTACTTCTTATGACTATTCCACCTCGGTGATGGTCATTTAGGACCATCTGTCCTAAGGATTTCTTCATGCATGTTTTCAACTTTCCACTAAGAATTAACGTTTTAACATGCTTATGTGCTATGGAAAATTGATATTTTCTATTATAACAATCATTTTTATCATCATTCACTGAATAATTGTTTTATTTTTTGGACATTGTTTTTATTTTAAATATTTTTGTGTCATTATTAATAATTTTTTTGGCCTTGATTAATATTATTATTTTTTTTTTTTTTTCATTTCAGTGTATTTTGATAGAAATGTGTAAAAAAAGAAGTCTAAAGTCTGTGTCTTTTTGTGGACAATTTTAATTACAGTTGGGTAGATAAAATGATAGAAAATGTAGAAATATCGCAATCAATCTATCAGATGTTGGTAATTATTTTTTTCGTATTTTACGTATTTTTAAATGAAAGAATAAAAAGAAAAAAAGGTTAAATAGTGACCTCACAATAGTTCAAAGCCATATCTTTCGTAGTTAATGTTATAATATTACCGTAGACGAACGATTATAGAGAGGAAAAATGATCCAAACGTCGTAATTTCAGTAGTTTGAGTTTAAAGTGATAATTATAATCAGTAACTATTATAAGATTGTAAAAATAAGTTGCATAATCAAATCGTCTTGATACATCAGTAGCGATATATGGCAATATATAGTTTGTATTCTTTGGCTTATTACCAATGACAACTAAGTAATAGTTGTCTATGATTATCACTGATCTTATGGCTAAGCATATAAGGCTTGTGAGGAAAAGCACTGGAGAGGCCAAGGCAATAAATTTTACCTTGACGTTTAATATTTTCTGACATACACACAATATCTTCCGCTTTCAATATAAACATCAATATTCCATCATTTTTAAATCAAAAAATTTATTGTTTTGCTTCTTTTTTCATTTAATAATTTTTTATTTAGACTTTTATTGTTTAGTTTTATTAAGAAAAAAAAAAAAAATTAATATGCTTTGCTTTTTAAAGGAATTTGATTTTGATAATTTTGGATTGCTCAAAGATTTTTATAAATGTTTATTTTAAAGAATTGACCTAAAAAAATGTTGAAAATTTGTGGAAAAATGAATTTTTAATTTCTTTATAACAATTTATATAACATGGGCGTGATTTAGAGGTGGTAGATTGTCGTTTACGATCCATGAACGAGACATCAGCAATAATTTACAACTTGGAACCACAGCGAAATGGATACACGAGATATGTGGTACGCACAAACCAACAATTAGACCTCATAACTACGAGTATTAATGCAACTATAAATTGATGTATTAAATTTTGCAACGGGAAATATCTTTTTTTCCACCTACATGACGATAAAATACTTTCTAAGCACATTTATCGTACTAAAATTACTTCACAGATAAATCTAGACTAGAGTTGTTCGTATTGAAATATTAAAAATAACAATTTTTAGAAAAAAATCATAACATGATCAAAAATGAAGTTTAAATTATCATCAATTGATTGATTTATTTAAATAATCAATAATTTATAGTCTTTTCATAGATGATTTATAAATAATGGTCTATACTCAATTATCGATAATAAATTGTTAAGATTTGATTTTGATAACACGAATGAATCAATTGATTAAAAAAATACTTATTTAGAAATGAGAAAGAGTAAGATATAATATATATTTACCTGAAGTGGCCGGTGATGAGGATGATGTGGATGAAGTTGCGGTGTATGAATCATATCTTTTTCAAAATCGTCAGTAGATTCTTTATCGCAATTTTTCGCAGTTGAAGCAGCACCAGTAGCAGTGTCCGATAATTTATCGGAGCAGTCAGAGCGTTTTTTTCTTCCTTCGCTCTTTATTTCCTAATCAATCATCTTAGAACGTTAATCAAACGACTTTAGCTTGATTCATCATCATCATCCAGTCTTGGATATTATCCAGATGATGACGAAAATACTTACATTAGGTGCGACTTCATTGAGACCAACTAATTGAAGAGCTTCTTCGAGGTTGAATCCGTCGGGTAGACCTAAAGAATCATTGCTTAATAGTCCTTCAACTCCTGTACTACCGAGAAGACTGTCATTTAATAATTCCGACGGAAAGTCATCCTCAAGACCAAAATTTTCGTTCAATCCTAATGAATCTTCAACGAGACCAATTGGTGGATCGTTTAGAGTTAATTGAGCACAAGACAATTGATCTGGACTTTCTGAAAGACTTTCTGGTCCACTGACACTTGGACTGCCACTTGTCAATATGTATTCACCTGGAACCGATGGAAAACCAAACTTTTTAGTGTAGGAAAGTTTTTTTTTATCACTTTTAGTATTTTTTTTAAAACAACAAATTGATTTTTAGGTATTATATAACATTTTCAACATAATTTAGCACCTTTTAGATTAAATGTTAATCAGTAATCCAATTTTCGGAGCAATCAACACTTGAAAAGCTAGATATTGACGTTAATAAACCAATAAAGCACTTTGTAGCACGGGATAATTTTTAAAACTTGATAAAAGGGTTGAAATTAACTAAAAAAAAAATTTATTATTGTAGGTTTTACACTTTAAATCCAACACTGGCAGCGTATTTCCTTCAATATTATCATCACCAATATGCTGTTTTTGATCAATACAACACCACAATTCTTCAACTTTAAATGACGAGGCAGATTTAACTGCTGGACCACTACTTGAAAACTGATGGATCTCAACTGAGAACAGGTATAATTTCTTTAGTAAAGCAACATAAAAGAGAAGTAAAAGAAGAAGAAGAAGAAGAAGAAGAAGAAGAAGTAAATGGAAGGGGAAATAAAGGAAAAAACGTAACTAATTGATGAACAAAAGGGATGTGTCCAGGATCCACCTGCTCGGTTCTAGTAACCCCTTGGGTCTCCGCCCTCTGACCAATCACATCCTTCTATCTCCTACCCTTTTCTTCCTTTCCCCCAATTCTCCAGTTTATGTTTACAATTCGATTTTCTACCTTCAAAACAATCCGTATTTTTACTTATATTTAAGGAATTTTTCGTGCTTTACTTATTTACTTATTATACACGAAAATCGATATTTAATGCCTTGAATAAATATTAGGTATTCGGTTGAGTAGGAAAATGGAGAGGTTGTTGGACTCATTAGGAATAAGTCTTGGAAAATTTCGGTCATTCTAGTTGCACTTTTGCCAGCCAAAGAGATTTTTAGTGGATCCAGATGATCTTTTGTTTTGGAGAGTTTGGTATTCTAGATGATGAAAAATAATATTTCCCTTTGATTAGTTATTGAAAATATGTTATTCAATACTTGTGAATTTAAGTTCACTGCATGATTAATATTAAAAAATTAATTATTAAGGAGATAATTACACGACTAATAGTATAGTATAGAGAAAACCTATGTTAAAATTAAAATTATAAAACTTTTGATCGTTTTGTGCACAAGAAATCTGAATTGATAGAATCTGTTGAAAAAACGAATTTATTAATTTTGCAAATACAATAACTTTTTTAACTATAGAATCATGATGGAAATAGTAGTGTTGAAATAATATTACAGTAAATTAATTAGATTTTTTTCTCTTAACTGTTAAATAGAGTAAACATATTAATTGATGGACAGTTTTAAAGTCCAAAAAACGGACTGGATTGGAAATAGAAGAAAAGTATTTATTGAAAATATTTATGTTTATTTAAATTATTTAGAGCTTTATTTAATGAATAAAAAATATTTTAGTGAATTTAAATATTTCATTTTTCATATATTTTCAACAATTTAAAAATCATATGAGTGATATCTCTCTGTTGGTTTAGTTACTCTAGAATTGAATATCGATTTAACATAGAAAATTTTGTCAAGGTATTTAAAATTATTTAGACCATAAAATTCTATACTAAATGTCACTTTTAATGATATATAATTAATTAAAAATGATATACATTTTTTTATCATCTTGAATAATTTTTATATTTAAATATTGATTTGTTACTGATCAAATTGTTTTAAAAAATTAAAATTAAAGTCGCTTTTTTATTAATAATGGAAAAATAATTCAAAAAGTGTAGTCCAGAATAGAGAAGTATTTGATAGAGAATTGAACATTTATTTAATTTGAATAAACTTGAAAAAGAAAAGTTTTTTGTTTAATTGACGTTGGTAGGGATGTTATTAAAGATAATAATCGCATAAAATAATACTTCCCAGAAGCTGCCCCTGTATCTTAGGGCTCAGGTAAGACTTGACTCGCGTGACGAGTTGTCGAGAAGAAGGTAAAAAAAAGGGTATAAGACATAAAGGAAAGAGAAGGTGGAAGGCGCTTTTTTCCTTCAAGCGGTTTGACTTTGAGTGCGGCTATATTGAAGGAAGGTCGCACCTTTTTCGATGCCTATTACATTAACGAGTGGTAGCGGCCATTGTCTGGCATCAAATGTAACTTCGACCGCACTCTTAATGGCTGTCTTTAAATTGGAATCACGAAAACACCCTCTTTTTAATGTCTAAAAACCCTAGTATTCTTCATGTTTCGTCACTTTTGAAGTCTTACTTAGGGCTTTAAACGTCGATCGAAAGAATTTAAATAACAATATTGACTTATTTTTTTTTTTTATTAATTTTATTTATTATTCTTTTTTTTATGGCTTTTATCTAAGTTTTATCTTTTGGCTTTCAGGGTAAAATGGACTAGAGTAAAATTAGCAGCTTGAGGGTGTTATTTTCCCAGCTTATTTCATATTGGTGATGCTTATCTAAGCTGAACTGCAGGTGAGTCGTAAATATAAATATAATTGAAAGTGTGTGAAAGGAAAAAAAGAGGGTGAAATAACCTTTTTGTTGATGTTATTTTTATTATAAACATTTAATAATTTTTATTTATATCAACAAAATTGTTGGTAAATAATGCTCCGAATCTCATAACTATCATCTTCAGAATAATTTTATATCCCTCTGAATTGGCTATTAGTTTTTATTAAAATTATCTATTATTAAACAATTATTTTCTAGCAAAAGAAAAAGCATTCTCTAATAAGAAAATCATTATTTATTAAAATAATAAATAAAAATAATTCCTGAATGATTATTGGAGTTTGGTAAAAGGTTGGAAAGTCTAAAATAAATATTTTGAAGAGCCAATTCACCTATTTCCCATACGGTTTTTTTTTCAAGCACACGTCATATATTTTAATTAAACTAATACGGTACCGTTTAATAAGATTTCCGGTGAAACATTCACCCAGAATGTTTTTAGGGGGAAAAAAATTATAAACGAAATTGGATTTTCTTCATGTCAAAAATGAAAATTAATGTTAGTTAAAATTCGCAACATCATCCTTAGGAAACTAATACATGAAGTTCTTTCAATTCCACGGGGCCCTCTTTTGAACAGAGAGTGCTTTTTCCACGGTCCCAAACGCGCCTTATGCTGACAGATCATTTCTCATATTTTTGTTGTTTAGACCCCTCAGAAATCATCAAAAAGCATCCGATAATAATAATTCCGGCATTACATGACAGAATTTATATGTGTTGTTCACTTTAAAACTTCATTTTTCCAACTATAGTCTTTGATGTTGTTCATGTTCAAAGCTTTTACTGTTGGATATCCAATGCAACCTTTAAACGAGGTACAGAATTCATTGATGTCGCCATTTGACATCCAATTGTCGTATTTCCTGACAAATAAATTTGATTTTTGTCCCAATAAGTGTGACTTTGACATCTTTATCATCTATTTTGTGACATTTGGGGTAGATATTCCTTCAAATTAATGTCCACTGCAGTTAATTTTGAGGCTATTATATTGATCGAAATTTGTTGACCAGAAATCAAATAACGTTGAGATTTTAGAAGCCGTCGGGTGATAAATTCATAAGAAATCTAGTTTTAATTACCAATAAATTAATCATTTCTAGCTTTTCTACCTTTTTCATTATTAACAACTAAATAAACATTTGAATGTTTCATTAATTAGACAACTAATTAAATTAATTTCCTATCGGATCACATATGTATTTAGATATATACTTCTTTCTAAATAAATCATTGTTTTCTACTATTCCTTTTTTCATACCTCATCAGTAATCAGTATAAAGTAATTGAGTTGATTGATAATTTGAAATTTAAATTATTATTTGAATTCGTTATTGGTGAGTTTTGAATTAAAAAATTAACAACTTGAATGAATAATGTTTTAAGAAACTGTTTTCTGTTTGTTCTTATATTTATCAAAATTGTATTTTCGATTTTTAATTTATTTTTTTAAAACTTTTTTATTCATATAAAAATAGTTGTTTCAATGGTTTTTTTTAATTATGAAGGAAATGCCAATTTCAATTTAACTAATTATCAGTAATTATGATTGGAACTGCTTTCATCAGTGAATTTTAAGTTATTATTCTTCTCTATAAATAATTTCATAAAAACTTGAAATAAATGTTTCAATAATATGATATGAATATTCCCTTCTTATGAATTGAAACATGAGAATATGATATTATTTAATGATTAAATAATATTAAATTGATGTCTAATTAGTTAAAAAATTTAAATGATAAATCATCAATTGGCGTATATTTGTACCCAATATTCGAGTTTTTTTGAATATAATTAACGTGAGAATGTTAAAAAATATGAATTTAACATAAATGCTCGGGTATTTTGCTAGCTTGAACCAGTTCAGCTGTTTCAAGATTATCCATTTCTAAGCTAATCCTGCATTTGTCCTTCGAAAAATAGTCCAACTGATTTTATTTAGCATCTAATCAGATTTTGGATTGGTTCAGGTTCTTTAAAGTAGGCCTGAAGGTAAATTTACCTAAAGTTCTTTGAAAATCATCAACAAACATAGGTTCTTCAATAACAAACTTTGCTTCGAATCTTAAATTTTTCTCACAAATTTCTATAAAATCTACTATTTAAAGTATTACTCTTCACAGTTACCTTATTTAAAGTCATCAGAAGATGAAGTTTATAAAAAAAAAAATTACCTTAATCAATGATTCCAACGATTTATCTTCAGTTTTTGAAACTTCGCTGATGCTAATCCAGCAGAATTAAATGAAAGAATCAACTTTAAAATCCATATTTGGAGTAAAGGTGTTTTAAGAAACTGGAACAAACTATAAAACACTGAAATAGTACACCAAAATCACTCGGAAAATGATAGAAACTATTTATTATCCAGAAGACACTGATGCTTTGTTGAATAAGATTGACGTATGGGCAAAGACTGATAGCCAATGATGATGATGATGCTTTGCTATGGTGAACCATGTAT